ATAAAACTTCAGTAGTGGGTGAAATGTAGTGTCGCATTTGAAATGCATTTTCAACCACTTGAAAAAAAAATATCAGTAGTGGTTGCTACCTCTATAGTGATTGCAACTGTGAGGTACACATTACTACTAATTATTTGTTTATTACTGACTATCTAACGAAAATATATCGAGAAATCTGTCTCACATGTGGCTATCACTAGTACATTATGTAAGGTGGTTTCAATGGTCCATACCAAATCAAGCAAAATACACTCTGGAATTTGATTTACTGAAAACAAATGGAAGAGCGAGGACTGTCTTCAAATATGACACCCCCAAGATACGGTAGCTGGAGCCTAGGGAATTTATTTATCTACCCCCAATGGTTTATACCATACAGGTAAAAACCTTATCAGCATGTGTGTATTACTCCAGATTCGATGCCCACAACCTTCACTTTCATCTGAAGGAGGAATGAATCGAAAGCATCTGTAAACGGTAACTGTTTTGTTTTAAGAAACGAATTAATTTTTTCACGAAGAAAAATTTCCAGATTCTGAAGAATTGCATGAAAAAGAAGCATTCAGTTGCGAGATTTAAATCAACACTCATATAAAAAATACAATTTGATATGAATTTTCTTTATAATAATTTTTCAATGTACATGTATTTCTTGTAGATTGAAGTTTTTCAGTGGGAAGTATGTTTCGTTGGATTATAATTGCGATTGCAACATCCTCTCTAACGCAAGGTATGACCACATTTCATTTTTCAGATGACAATTTATTTTCAAAGTAGTACATAAAACAAATGTCATATTTATTTAACTTATATTTGACTTGGATCAAATATTACAATCGCTTTATTGATGAGTTAGATAACAAGACTAATGTATTAGGATATAAATTGACATTAATGATATTTTATTAAATATACAAGTGTCATACATACATGCATGCATGAAGCATTTCAGAGGAATCAAGTGTTTATCAATATTATGATACAGAACATTAACTGGTTTATTTGTTTACAAAACGTGTAATTTGTAGATGCTACATTGTATACTTCATGTTTTTTTTCAATATTGCAGCCATGGTCTTTCCCATTTCAAACATTTCCAAATGAAAATGTTAATTTTAAAAGTATATTCATTTTTAAATTTAAGAATCATATATGGAAGATTGTGTGCATGCTTAAAGTGGCTAATGAATTTTGTACAAAGATGTACAAAGATAGGAAAAGCCCACGAACACAAAAATAAAACATCATGGCAAAATTCATCCAGATATTTCCAAACTTCCCATCCAACCCTTTTTGTGCATTGTTTCATTCTATTTGACAATATAACAATGAATTTGATGGAAAGAGGATAACATACAATTTTGATCCTCCTATTTATTTCATTATCTTGTTTTGGTGTACACTCGGGTATTAGCTGCGCCTAAACAGGCCACGGACTGTAAACAATTTCATTGAAGAAAATGTTATCTGGATCAGAGGCTCGAAGTTCCCACCAATTAGACAGAACATAAAGAATTTCACCCAGGCGAACCTCTTTAATTAATCAACTATTTGAAGAGGTTAAATAAGAGGTTTTTTGTAGTGTGTACTGATAAATTACATTGTAAAATTCCTAATTCCAAAAAGTAGGTAGTTTGATGTATTTTTTTTTATGTAAACCACTTTTACTTATATCATTCGAAATGAGTATCAGCATTTTTTGAGATAATTTTATAGAAATAAAAGTTGAAAATCAAAGGAACCATGAACAGACTTTTCTACTTCACGAGAACAACTTTTCTTTCTATGCAATTGTAAAATATGTGTATATGAAATACTTCGAAAATATTTTCAACGAGACTTATTACAAGTATTTGCAAAAATAGTCAATAAATTGTACAAAGAACCGTTTGTTTTACAAACGAGATGAAATCCTTATGGACTAGTAATTTGATTTATGCAAGAACTTTCAAATGCAAACATTAATACAATATCTATATCATATGTTGATTCAGGCATTCAAAGGAAGAACTTGATGGAAGCTTGCAAGACCGACAGAGATTGTCCAAGCAATTCCAAATGCACCATAAGAGGCTGCGACGGCAGCATTTGTTTATGTCGTTCAGACCTTATTCCCAATCTTAACTACACCAAATGTGTTTCAAGTAAGTATTCAAATTGTATTCTTGCAGTTCGCTTTTCTGAACTTTTTGTACCATTATCTGTACTATCGAGGTACAGTCTCATGAAAACACGTAGATTTATTAATATCCAAAATGGCAGCATGTATACATTAGAAACAAAAGATCATTGATTTTATCTCTGTCTCACTAAATAATCTAGGATGCATAATTATGTACAATTTTTGTGAAGCACATTTTTGATTTACAAAGAATATATGGCCTCTCTGTGATCATGACCTCCCCAAGTGTTCTTGGATCAAATTCAAAACAACTCTTTTAGTTTAATTATGATACCTTCATACAGGAAATGTCTTTCTTAACTGTTTTTCTTAACTTTTCCCAAAAATAATGACACGTTATGAATCAAAGCAGAGTACAGCATATCCAATCCCTCTGACCTTGTCTAAATGACCTTGAATCTGAATCAGGAGTTAACCTCTGGTCCTAAACATCCATTGTGCTGAGTTAGGAGCCGCTAACTTTATTGAATGTCGTAAGCAATTAAATTAAAGAAGTGGGGAAAACAGGCAAGCAAAAGTCATGTACTTTAAATTTCCTTGCCTTCGTTTTCGAGGAATAAAGAATTTTGCTAGTATCTCAATTTCTTTTCTCTAGATAAATAACAAATAACTACAGATACGCATATGCATAGTAGAAATTATAGCAGGAACTTCATCAGATTCTAGGCCTTTGGCAAGGGGATGCTTTTAATGCGATCGCACACCATTTTAAAAAAATAAGCTATTTTTTTCAGACAACATAACTTTTTTTCGCTTTTAAAGGCATTCTGCTAGATTTTATAAATCAATATTAATAATATTTGATTTTTGGAATGAATCAAAACTCACCAAAATTATATCCATTTCTAAAAAAAAAAAAGATTCTAACTCCGAGAGGGAAGTACCTCTCTCGGACACTTCCCTGCACTACGTTTCGAGAATTCTTGCGACAACCCTGGCTTCTTGGGTTATTTTAATTTATCCTTCCAATTCTAACATTTATTCAGCGGGCGTGATAGGTAAGAGGGACATTCCTTCCGTGTTTGTACATGGATAAATCTTACCATTCATAATCCAATATCTTACAAAGATAGGTAGCTGAAACATATTTGTATTCTCTTTATGACGTGATCTTTTCTCTTGTTCCCATTAGTATCTGGGCAGTTTGGGGTGACCTGTGCAATTTTCACTCTTCCTGAGCTAAACCAGTTGAGTGTGGAATTACTTTATAGAAATATTAAGTGTATTGTTTCCCAGATTTGACACTATTTATTTCTGTTTATCTACATTTTGCTCCAGTTTTCTTTTATGTTTATCCGATAAGTTATCATTTGACTATTTTTGGAAAATTACTACGGATCTATCACAAATGACTCGCTGACGACTGAAAGTCATCCTTTGGAATGCAGACATCTTAGCATTACAATATACATGTAATTACATAAAATTAATGAGAAGCAAACGTCAAATAGAAATGTTGCTGACATGTAGACCTCCCGTCCATGACACAGTATTGCGTCGCGGGGTATTTGCTTAGCAGGCGTACAGAAATACTGCGTAAACATCATGGCACCTTGATCCCAGGAAAATTAGAAAGTCGTTTTCTGAAGAAATGCAGGAAGTAAGATCAGGAAAAGATAATAGACCCCGGTCCATCGAGTTACCTTTTGTGCACATGAGGTTGTTTGTACCCAGAGACTAGAGGGTACTTAGGAATGGAATGTACGGTTGGCCTGAAATTGGCATACATTTTTGATAGACTCACTGTGAAACAACGATATTACACAGCGAGTGACCCTTTTTATAAAACGGGAAAAAATTCACTGTCCTTCCGCCCCGATAGCCTACGCCATTATTCTCAGATGTCCGTTGAATTATCTTGGATTTGGACAGTATTACAATATTTAGAAATCAATTAGAAAGTGAGTCATTAATATTAATCGTTTGTCAATTTTGTACATTATTAATCGAAGAATTTTACAAGAAAAACTGTCTGATAAACGTGATGATCACAACTTTTTTTTATCACCAACTTTCCTTACTTATGTATCAATTTACTGTTTTTACATCCATATATAAAGTTTATGTCCGCAGCTTATTCTACAAGCAAGAGCAGTACGTCTACGTTGAAATACCTTCTAAAACGGGACTCATTGAAAATGAGTTGTTGAAACAACTCAAACAAGGATATTACCACCATTTATTTCAAACAGTCTTGTTTAAAGCCTACATTTCTTCTCGAATTCTGTGGTTGATACAAAGATGCATTTAGCAAAAACGATCTACTAGTATCATTGAGTCGAATGCTCACTGATGTTTTTATTCAGATGGTAAAATCATTATTTTATGCTGAATTGTCTACGTACGTTTTCCTGTTTGTCCGATCATGACAAGGAGCAGAAGACAGTTGTACTTGTCACAGGGAATGCTTACTCCTCCATTGTACCTGATTCAACCTGTAATAACCATCATTATGTAATAATTATCATTATGGACTATTTTTGGAAAATTTCTACAGTTCTCTCTACTCCAGTTTTGTATTGTTTTAGTGGGCGTTTGTGCTTGACTACTGTTCATGTCTCCATATTTTATATATAATAACACTCGTTATTGTTCTTTCCAACATCGAAGAAATTTACTGCTTTGAAACAGTTTTCTCAAGATCTTTGCAATTCTCAAGCCTCCTCCTTTTGTTTTAATATCTTCTGAAGCGCTCTACTATGCTGCTTGTTAATGAGATATGGTACAAATAATGTTATTGTCTTTTGATTTTTTAAATTAGATATTTAAAGCATTGAGAACGTCATTTAAGACGCTTTTTTAAAGTTTATAATTTACGAATTTATTTACAGTTGCAGAAGTAGGTGATAGATGCACCTCTACCCAGATCTGCCGTCCCGTCAGTACCCGTTGTGATCACGAGCTAGGTACATGCGCCTGCCAGAACGGATACTTAGCCTCCAATTCAAACAGCAGTGTGACCTACTGCAAACAAAAACCTTTACTCTCTACTTCCACCAGCTTCTCTTTACTGAACGAATTTTGTGACGACAAACAACTGAAATGCTCCCCTGAAAACCATTTGGAGTGCGATAATGGTAAACGTGTTTGCGTCTGCACAAAAGGGTACAAAAAGGCTTCTATGGAAATTATCAACGCCTATCCGTTTAATGTTGTCCAATGCGTTCCCGCAAATTTTTCAATTGGTAAGTAAAATGTTAAATTAATATAAGAATCATCAATATTTATGCTTATTTTAAAACATATTCCTTTCGAAAAATATAAAAAGAACATTAAAACATATTTAAAGAAAGTCCTAAAATGGAGATTTGAAATGAGATTACCAATTTATTTTAGTTTTCTCTTACTCAAAGTAAGTAAAACAAAAACCTACACTTTATGCAACTATTCTCTACGATAAATGAAAAACTAGCCTTTTTTGATATCATCAAATGCTGGTTCTTTAATAAAAATGATAGTAAGAAATTTCTTATCTTGTCAGCAAGATTACTTGTTAAAAATTTTAAAATGATAAAAACAGTCATAATCAGTCTTCAGGGATCAAGTAACTTTTGGAATTCCGATGGGCACTGATTGTGCTCATCTATTTGTCGACCTGATTTTATATTCTTATTTAAAAAACGTCTACATGAGAAAAAATATTCTTCAATATACTAGAAGTGAAAGTCAATTCGGATATGACCTTAAAAACGTAGGTCTTCTAGGCGTTGGCACGATAAAGAACCCTCAATGCTCAAAAAAAAATTTGACACTGGTGACCTTATGAGTGAAAAATTCTCAAGAGGGACGTTAAACAATATACAATCAATCAAAATAAAAATTTTTCGACGATGTATTATGAATTAACAATATTAATAGTTCCTTTGATATGCCGACTCGCTATATCCCAGTGTACTTGAAATAAAAGACAGCTTTATGCTAAATTTGTTCATTTCTGTGTATTTTACAGATTATAAACGATAAGGGTCAACTAACAAATAAATTTTATAATAAACAAAATGAGTTAAGTTTTTTAATTGTCAGCCATCCTTATTTGCTGTAATGCCCCGATCTCAACTAAATACAGAGCATCCTTTGAGAACGGTCAGTTTCAAAGCCGAAGCATGCTACTTATACATAAGCTGATGTTACAGGAATTTCAGCAACCTCGTTTAAATCAGCATTTTGTAAATTCAATGGTCGTTTAATGACCCTGAAAGCAAATTTGTAATATACTGGTTGATATGTCCCACACATTTGTTGGGTCTTTGTTTTTATACTACATTGAACTATACTACTACGAAATGTACTGTCTACCTGTTCAATACAATATACCGTACATGTATACGGCTCACGGCTGACGTGGTCAGTCAACAGGGGATGTTTACTCCTCCTAAGCACCCGATTCCATCTCTAGAATTCTGGGGTCAGTGTTTATGCCCTAGCTAATAACAGATTTTTATGATTTTACATTGATTTTTTTAGAGTGATCTTTTTCTCTTTTTGCATCATTGATTTGTTATTTATGGCCAAAGAAACTTTTACATTTATCATTAATTTTTTTTATTAGTTTGCCAAGTGTCTTTTTCTCATAAAATATTTAAATTTGAAACATATGTTTCAGACGGTCTTATTTCGAGTTCAAAGAACTATATGAAATCACTGTAGGAATGAAAAGGTATACTGTTCGTTGATAAAGCTCTGTCTAAATGTCGAATCGAAGGTTAGAGCAAGGTCGTTCTTTATTTTCCATCTACAAGTTTCCGAATAAATTCTGCGGTATATGAATCCAATAAAAGATTGCCAATAACGTTAAAATGGCAATTCCACCAAATTGTTGGAAAACTTGATCTCTAAAACTGCAAAGTTACCGGTATTGTCAAACAGAAACTAGGACGTCTTCTTATAATAATTTCAGAGTACTTATTTAACAGATATTTGTTTTAACAATATATATAATGTAAATTTGTAAAGTTTGCTAAAATAGAATAAAATTTTTAGTGATGCAAATACATGTATATGACAAAATGAAACTTTCACAAGCAAACGGCCTTGCGTAGTCTTTGAGTCCAATTTGGAAAGGAAGTTTCAAGTAAAACGTATAAGAATTTAAAAGAAGAGATAAACAACTTTCTCCAGATAGTCATAAAAAAGATTTGATATTTTCATGACTTGAAAGCTTAACAATATATGGAAAGAAGATTATAAAATCTGTTTTAGAGACCTTGACTAGAAGTATCAAGTTATTTCCGCAATCGTCTGAGCCGTTTAGGACGTTCACAAGACAAATCGTCCAAATCGACGTGAAATAACGGATTTAGAAGCTTTACAAAGTCCTGTTGATCCCTCTATTGCAATACACACACCATCAATGGCTTTGGGAGTTAAGATCTCTGGCGCTAACTAACAAATTAACTTCTACTGGTAGAATTACGACAAAGAAAATCAGGAAACCTCAGGGATTTTTTTAAAATTTCATTATATAATTTATACACTGGTGATTAAATTCAGTGTGAAAATATATATGTTAACATGGACTTTTTTTTGCCAGATAATACGTACATGTATATTACTTTATTTCTGTTAAATCGCTGACCTATCGCTATCAATATATAAGCATAGCAGTATAACAATATAGCAAAATATAATAGTAACTTGCTAAAACGTACATTTTCCCGAGTATCATATACTGTATGTGCATATTTCTTTTATCAGGCATCAGAATAAAAGAAGATCAGTGTTTTAGCCCACCACCAGGTAGAAGTCTTGACAATTGGATATTAATTTGGTTTTTTTAAGTAATGCAAGATAAACTGTATTTTTATTTCTCAGAAAATATATATCCTCTTAAGAGCTTGTTGTTTCATTTCATCGATTGATAAAGTTAAAAATAATCAACTTATACATAAATTGTAGTGACACCGAGTTCATCAGCAAAACAAACAATTATCACCATTTCATTGCCGGCCACCGATCAATTTTCATCAAAATTTGTGTCAACATCTGACATTCCATCATTATCAACGGATTTCGGACAAACACTACCATCAACGTCATTAACAAGTTTCTCAAACTTACAACCTACACCAGCAATCACAACATCCGCCTATGAAACACAGGAATACACCGAAATTCCGGAACCTTCATCGACAGCCCAGTTAGAAGAAAGTATTAGTTTCTCTTTCCCTTCCACAATACTTCCGTGGAGTAATGGGATGGAATCGTTTTCGGAAACAAAGTTGGAAACTCAACAAACAGTTTATCACTCCCTCGTTAACTCTGATTATACCACATTAATTTCAGACACGGTGACAAGAAGTGAAAATTATGAACACTCGTCATCAAGTTTTCATTCAAGTTTATCTTTTTACACAACAGCGAACCTGAAGACAACTTATTTATCACCTACAAGCAAGAGTATGCCCCATTCTTCGATGGAACCTAGTTTCCAATATACCTCAGCTCTAATTGAATCATCTAAACTAATGTTTAGTTCTCCGGTAACTTTCAGTTCTTCATTAACGACAACTTTGTTAAAAAGTTCCAAATCACCATTTGTTACGGTATCATCAGAAAATGGTTCAATGGAATCATCATTGTCAGAAAGTAGTTCTGTGAAGCCGTTATCCACATCATCACAATTCATATCAACAACAAAGTTGTCAAGCTCAAAAACGACCACAGGAGTTTTGGAGGAAACAACAATATTCTCTAAACCTTCCATCTCTTCTGAATATGCTTCAACGATTAAGATCTCTACTCCATACACATCATCATCTGAACAGCAAACAATATCTGCATCTTTGACCATAAGCCCAACCCCAACTCAATCCAGTAGTCAACAAATTTCAGATAGTTCAGTTGTGACAACAGTATCATCTCAAACTATAGCTATTACAACAACAGCAGAACCAACTGTAAGAACAACGCAAGCATCTCGAACAACAACAACTGCTGGTTCTACACAGCGTACAATAACCAGCAGTAAGAAATATACATTTTATTTTAAAATAATTGATTAGTACTTAAATTATAGTTTGCTTTCACTGGAAGTAAACATCATATTCTATACATGTATATTACCACACATATATGGCACAGGGACGGTATACAATTATAAGCTCAGATGATTTAAAGACTTAAGTGGGTTTTTCTGATCAAATTGTGTACATTGTGTATCTTTTTTTTTTGTCGTGGTTATAATAAATTTTTGGCATTTTATTTTCTACAGTTCCAATCAACTAGTTTCAACAAAACTTGCCACATAGTATACTTTAGTGAAAGAGAATCAAATTATATAAATTACATAAATATACAATATTCATACCAATGTAGAGCCAGACTCTCTCTTTCAAGGATTCATAATTAAGAATAGTGAAAATTGTATCTTTCAAAAAGTCTTCTCAGTAAAACTTGAATTCTATTTTGAAAGCCTTATAAAGTAATTTTGATTCAACATTGTTCAACGCAAGGTCCTTGGGGTAAGGGTGTGGCCAATCTTAAATAGCTTCATATTGTAAAATATAAAGAAAAAGTATTTCGAAATGTTTTCAAGAATTGTAAAGCCATAATTAGGCATTAAAATATGGAAGCGGGCTTATTCTAACTTTTCAGTTTGGAAATGATTTTGTTTTTCTCTAACCAAAGTCCCTCGGGTGAGCCATGTGGTACATGAACCTCTAGTTAGATGGTTTGTATTACTGAGAAGAACAGACTTGAATGATAAGAGGAATTAAAGATGATATTCTAACCATTATTTCATTTCAAATTAATCAAACAAGAATTAATCAAAATGCTATCAATGAAATGATATATTCAATTCTCTAAAACATGCATACATTATTTAAAATTGTAATACTAAACTTTTTTCCAGTACCCATTGGAAAAGCTTGTGAAAGAAACATCACATGTCCTGCAAATGCTGTTTGCGAGAAACGCTTTGAATGTGGGGGCAGCTTGATGTGTCACTGCACGTATGGCTTTTTACCCAGTGATGACAATAAGCAATGCTTAAAAAGTAAGAAATCATATTTTTAAATGGACATCTCTAGACAATGTTTCAAATTTATAGAATATACATATTTCATTTTACTGATTCTGGATGTACTATGCATCTGTCTGTGGTAACGAAATGGATATATTATGTACAATAATATCAAACAAAGACTTAGACACTCTTTCTCCTCTAATAGACAAACAGTTAAAACACAGCGTCATTTCCTCATTTACCCCCAAGGTTTTCTTGCGAAAGCAGGAATCAATAAGAATTTAGTTGAAAATATATATCAGTTATGTTTTATTTCAGTGAAAAGTTCTAATATTTTATCGTCAAAAGTTTTTGATTTCTAGAAAAAATCCTCCTTTTTCTGTAAAAAATAATGCCGGAAGAAGGTGAGAGATCTTAGTTTTGACAAAACAAGGATGCAGCCTGAAGTAAATGTTATTTCACGGCTTGAGTATCCTGTGGACGACTTTGAACATTGTTTGAATCACAATGTCATTGACTTCAGTTTTATTTACCCTTACATGGATGCTTTGAAGCCGGACGCCTTCCTCTTGGCGTTTCTTTGGCTTCTTCAAGGATAAATGATAGAATAAATAATGCCTTTGTCATCAATTTTTGGCTTAATGATAATGTTTAACACTTAGGTGTCTGTAGGAGTCTCTGATGGTGCAAAGCATTGCATGGGAATATTTATGTATCTGGCCAATACAACGTTGATATGGATAGCAATTTGGACCCCAATAATCTTAATGGCGTTGTTATATTTTCCGGCAAAAACTTAACTACAGTAAAAAGGAACTTGGGAAAAACAGATGTAAACAAATAGTGCAAAACCACTGCAAAAGCCACTGGGATAAGTAAATTTTCCATAGCCTTGAACATTTAATCTCAGGGATTCAACTCTTAATAAATATTCAGTGTTACATAACAACGGTATTATCTTTGTATAGTTAAGTAAATTTTACCCGTTTTATTTTCTAAGCATCTTTATCATTATTTTATTTTATATTTGGAAATATACACTTAAATAAAGAAGATTCTTTTGTGTAATGAAATCAATATTACTTTAGAAATGTATCTTATAAAAATACCCCGAAAACAATACCAATCTGTCGAAGGACATACAAAATATGGACCTCCGAAAATTAGAGAATGGGAGAAAATAATAGATTTAATTGCTAGAAAAATAATTATATTTAACATCGTCTCACTTTCCGCTGTAATAACTTTTTATCTGAATCTTACTTAAAATTTTCAATGTTTTTTTGGTAAGGAATGTACCATGCAGAAATTATAGAGTCACTAAACTACCTATTTCTATCAGATTCGCATAAATATTTGTTGAAAGTTGAACATGACAAGTATCTAAAAAAAAATTCTTTGTAACATAGAGTTTAATAACCATCAGTAAGGTAAATGAAATATTTAAGATACAAGTTTGCGTACTGAATATATGAGGAAAAACTGCAATTTAGCATCAAGAAAAGACACTTGAAAACACAGAGAATTTAGTTTATATCGTGTACTTCGAAAATTTTATGTTCACATATAAAACATATTTTCACTGAATACACTTGCAATATTGATAAGTTATACTATATCTGCCATATAATCCAATTTTATAGTACAGTATCTTGGCGGGAAATGTGCATCAAACAAGCAGTGTGTGGGACCAAACGCAGTTTGTATTGGTGGGATCTGTTCTTGTAAAGATGGATATGTCTCAAGCAGCAATAGAACAAGATGCAGACGAAAAATGTCATGGTTCGTTAGTTTTCCACTTCTTGGAGACCGATGCATGGGGTTCCTTTCCTCGTGCTACAACCATGATGAACAAGAATGTAAAAACAAGAGGTGTTCCTGTAAACCTGGGTATAGAGAACTGGATGACGATGATCTGAAATTACGTCATAAGAATTATCAGCAGTGTGTCAGGAACAACACCGATTTGGGTAAATTTATTTCATCTCTGTGAACTTGTATGGGACAGACAATGTATGCAGATACTTTTTTAGTCGTACCAAACAATTTGCTCTTTGAAATTTTTAAAAGAAAATTATTTTTAATGCAAACCTTCTAATCAGTAACAAGTGTAAAAAAAATAATTACTTCTAATCACCTTTACTATGAATTGATTTAATTTGAATAATTAATATCAGACTGTCAAACGTTTGTTTTAGGGAAAATGAACGGGAACGTAAGATGTACAGATATAACGGCATCAGAATTTTCAGATCCTTACGACTCGGAGGCAAACAGAAGTGAGTGTTTTATTTAGTTTTCTTAAATCTTCTTTTTTGTACCACAAAATATTAAAATGGGTAAAGAAACTTCAATAAGAATATATTTTTTTATTTTTTCTTTAAACAGAAGTTAGAGTGATGCAAGGAGCCATCATTGGTGGAATAATAGCTTTAATTGTATTAATACTTGTAGTGGTAGGAGTGGTTTTCTATATCAGATACAAAAAGAGGTACTTCATTATTAAAATTAAACAGATTTGCACTTTAAAAGTTTACATATGTTTTTTTTTAAATGGTCTTTCAAATACTACGACGTGTTTCAAACTGGAATTTTTCCTTAAACCATGACACCGAACACTCTATGACTAGTGATTTTATAGAAGATTCATTTTCCGTAAAGATAATATTTTTCAGTGTTTTTATGTTATCATATATTGGAAAGGCATTAACTTTCATAACTTTTTTCCCTTTGAAAACAGAACAGGTGACATGAACAACGATTCCGGATCTGAGATATCATTTGAGCGACAATCCAGTGGGCGCTACTCTTTTAGAATCCCGCGTCCCTTCGCAACATACGACAGTACACCGGCTGACAACCTGTCCTTCCATAACCGATCATTCAAAGAAGATGAAACCCATCGTCTACGAGAAGACGAGCTTAAATCATTAAATGGAACTCTTGCTAAATTTTACTTCGATGACATCGATTACAAATCACATGAAGATTTTAGACCACATGAAGATGGAAAGTGAAGCCTTTGTCATAATGTAGCCTTGTATATTTGAGATTACAGTCCATTGGAACTGAATACTATTGTTGGATGAGTGTTTAAGACATATAAATGAAGAATATTTGGAAGAGTGAATTAAAGAATGAGTGACAACTGCGATTTACATTGATGTCTTGAACAATGATTAATTTACAAGAAAGGGAAAAGGGTCGATTCATTTAGGTCTCCAAAATTAAATTGCTTTAATGCAAGATTTATTTTTAAAGTAAATTACTTTTTGAAGTAAATGTCATTTTTAGCAAAAGACCAGATGCGATAGTAATGCGTCGATTTTTCACATTGACAGTTTTGGTCTGATTTCAATATAACTTGGCACACAATGATTATATCGGTTTTTGACATGAACGGTGTTGCCGTTGTTAAAAAATAGGGTGAAATTCTTTCAGCTACTCCTCCTACAGCTTTAGTCTGATTTCAATATAACTTGGCACACAAGGTCTCCAAAATTAAATTGCTTTAATGCAAGATTTATTTTTAAAGAAAATTACTTTTTGAAGTAAATGTCATTTTTTTTGTTTACTCACTGTACGATAAAAGAAATAATTCTTTTAATTTAAATTTCCATTTACCAATATTAAAATCTTTTTGTTGTGTAAAAATGACTTTTGTTTCCATGATACATTTTAGTCTGATTTTAATATAACTTGGCACACAAGTAGTATAAAATTATTTTTGATTTCGAAACGGTGTTGCTGTGGTTACTAAAAATAGAATATATTTCAATATAACTTGGCACACAAGTTCTAAATCATAATTCTGTGTATCAATTTTTGAGATCAGTGTTGCCGTGGTTAGCTTTCAAAATGCTACTCCAAATACAATTTTAGTCTGATTATAATATAAATGTGGCATGCAAGTACTTTTTCAAGGATCATTATTCTATGCTGTTGAAAAATTTCAATTTCCAACTGCTTAAGTACTTTTCTTTTCCTTTGCTATAAGTACAAACCAGTAATTTAAATTTTCATTTACCAATATTAAAATCTTTCTGTTGTGTAAAAATGACTTTTGTTCCATATACATGTTGTATATAATTATAAGAATATATTCCTACCTTCTAAATCTTGAGAGATCATCAGCGCTTCCTCGTCATATCCGACTTTTTCCATCTATGAAACAGTATGTTTTTTTAATAATGAAAATATATTTAATAAAATAAGCAATTTCATAGAATGAGTTATTAAGAGTTGTTGAAGAGTTGTGTATAGATGGTTTTCCATTGAGGTGTTATATCCCATGGCCGCAATATTGTAGGTCAGCATTCCCAGATCCCTTTTGTCTTATCTTTCTGGCATGCATGTTTAAAACTGGTTGCCCTAAGAAGAAAATTCACTACTTTGCCCTAGAATATGGCATGCATGTTTTAAATTGGTTACTCAAAGAGGAAAATTAGCTTCTTAGCCCTAGAAGATGGTGTCCGTGAGCAATGACTCTGAAGCAAAATAGTTGTAGGAATGCCATCTATTAGCATTCCGAAAAAAATATTTCTCAAATGCCGATAGAGAGAGAGAGAGTTACCTGTGGATGTACTTTTTCTTTATCTCTGATAAAATATTGTGAATTCTTTTCTCTGTAAACTGGGGTTTATGCTTCACTGCAGATGACAAATAAACTACCAAAAGAAGAAAAAAAATATCAGAGATAAACTAAATGTAGCTTAACTAGCTTATGCCACAATGTTATAAAGTAACTTACATTTTACAAAAAAATCCGACCCTCGTTTCAGATTTCGGAGTCTGCACTTGCAAAAGATCCTTGTCAAAATTTTAAGAGAATGCTTGTGCCTGGGATCGGAACACGATTGAAATGGGATGGTAAAACACCACATAAGACCGAACAGCAGCATATGTGGCGTAAACAACATAACAAAAGGCGGTGGTAAAATAGGTTTCTCTTCGTAATCATCGATAAGCTCAACAAAGTTGTACAACCAATGCATTTTGCTCTGTGTTATTATCTTTTGGTATCGGTCCCTTAAATTCAAGAAAAGAGTTAAGTGAATTTCTGTCCTGTTTTTCTAGTTATTTTAAATAAATAAATTTGAATTTGTTACTTTCTTAACTTACGTGAACATTGCAATAAGAGTGTTAAAGAGGAGCACAAAGAAAATCAGTGCTGCTGTGCCTCGTAGATAGGGAACGAGTCTGACTGAAATTTTGCTGTCGCCTGCAACATAGGCAAAAATAATAAATTTAAAGACAATGTAGATTACCTGTCCAGTTTTTACTAATATATTTTTTTGACATCCATCATAGATTTTTTTTTATTATTCATACTGGTATCAAAATCGTCAACGTTGTTATCGCCATACATAATCCAGTACTGCTTCCCCATGGCATTGTCAATTATTGTCCTAAAACATTTTAAGTGGTAAACTTTGATTTATAAATGAAACAAGGTGCAGCCTATTCCAAAAGCAGCAATTATGATTTTTCTGAACACAATAACACAACCTCAGAAGGTTTATGTGAATCAGATTCTTTTCTTACAATCTGAACACAAATTATAAATTTTTTCTTTCCAGTGATCTTGAAAAACACAAACAATCAAAAAGTAATTATTATTTAAATGAAGATAAACCTAAATGCTTTCATTTATTAATCGAAAACATAATGCATTGAGTACAAATTCAATAAAAAAGCAAATACGGCGTCTTCAGAATTTGAAATGTGCATGAGCAAGAGATCAGGAAAAAAACTTACCAATGTTTTAACAACCACATAAGTAACACCAAGTCTCCTTGATACCGATGTCAGATCAAGAATCCGCAGGAAAAACAGCAAAAGATTGGCGACTAAAATAACCCGAGCTAAATAACTAACATTGAAATATTTGAGAATCATGCCAATGAAGAAAAGAATCACGTTAGCAAGATCCACTGTATTTCTCCAGTCTATGTAAGCTCGAAACTTTTCTCCTATACCATTCCCTTGGGCTGCAACTATCTGAAAAGATCCAAAAACAAAACAGGATTCAAACAGAAATAGACTGGTAACAGACAATATGTAAAGTTTCAATGACAAATTCCTCAATTTACCTGCCTCCCTTCGTCCAGAGCAAAACAAGCTGACCACACCAACAACATCAGGTCAGTCCAAGAGAAAGGATCAGAGACTCCGGATAAAACAGTCACCGTAAGAGCACACATAAAGGCTGTATATGAAACCTGGGGATGAGGGTACTAGTATGTCATTTAGACATTTTTTGCAATATTTACGAAGTGCAAATATTAATTGGGTAAAATTACAAATCGATTCAAGTTTAAGTACAGCCATGAAATACGTAGGTTTGCTATGAATTGATATATGTAAGTATTTACAACTTACATTGAAATAACAACACTTGATAAAAGCCGTATTGTAGCTGTTCATTATTCGTCGAAGAAATTCCTCTTTGAAAAGTCTGAAATTTAATTTGTCGCCATTAAAAAAACTATAATAAATGTTCTGTATTTATATAACATGTTTTATATTGTCATTTAGGGCCTATTTTCATGAAACAATACTCACGCTAGAAATGGTAAAAGGAGTAAACAAAAGGGAAGAATCAAAAAGAAAAGTACTGCTTGTACTATCTTTACAACCTGAAAAGTAAACATATATCTTATAGTATCTAATTAACTGAATACTGTATTCATATCAATGCATATATAATTGTCGTCTCTTTTCTTACCACTGATTTTTTTTTCTTTTTGTAACAGAGAACTTATACTTTTATCTATAATTCTTATGATATACTTTACTAGATTATGTGTTTCTAAGATTTAAACCTATAAATAAAATTTAAACATGTAGTCATAGAAAAATTCATTAAATACCTTAGGAGACTGAGTGCCGTGAAGCCTGTTTCCATACCAGCGCCTATAGATTATGTCCGTGATTGATCTATGGTGTAAGAAAATTTCTTTTTTCTTGTTGTAGGCATGCAGGAAAATTTCATATGGTTTTTCAAACAGCACATGTTCGACTATGTCTTTCGAATCTGGATATTCTTCATTGATGTAGCACTCATGAAGAATATTTGTCGAATGCTGCACATACTCTCTAGTAAAAATTTTTATAAAGAGTAATCTTGAAAAAAAAAGTAAACGAACGTGTACATATGTTTTTATACCGGGAAGGAAGTGAAAAAACAACCTTTAAATGATATACCTTTGACATTCTTTATTTATTTACTAGTTTTGAGGAATAACAATTTCATTTAAATAATGTAAAGTATTGTTTTGTCCAAATATTTATTACAACCTTGATAAATGTTTGAAAAGTGTTATAGTTTTCTGTCCATATATAATATGTTTCATTCCATCCAAGATGAAGCTGCATAACAAAGCGTCCCAGATAGGCAACTAAAAAGACAAATAAAAGATATATAAACTTCCCTTTTTAAGGATGAAAAGGAAAAAAACAGAGGGAAGGATACTTGCAAAGGAAAGAATCCTTTTACCACATTAGAATACATCCAAATATGAAAAGCTGGTTCTGTTTGTTCTGTCAGTAAATACCACACGAAGAGATCTCTATATGTCATTTTCTCCTCCACAGCTGTAAAGTCGAGGTTAATTTATTCAAAAACTTAAGAGACAATTATACCGTTTTTCAGGGGGAAAATGATACAAGTAAGCCAAAAAAAAAAATAATAATAAAATTATGTTCGCCAAATGTAAAAGTAAGATATGAATAAATGTAGAGCACACTTACACAATTTATAATAGGATCCTTTGCATACTTACTCAATTTATAATAGCATCCTTTAATTTGCAGCTGACTTTTAAGAATTATGTTCACCTGATTTATCATTTGTAAATCCAGCTAGGGAGGAAAAGAGTGATTTTAAAAAAAAATCTCATAACTACTGGTACATTTGTGCATTTTCATTTAGGGTTTTTCGTGCATTGTACACTGTAACGCTTTTTAAATAAGTACTCAAACAAAAGAACAAAATACAATTTGAATTAAGATAAAGATAATAATTCATTCCTTTGAAAAATGTAACAAGATTTTACATTTCTTTTGTTCCTATTAATATTAATTGAACTTTCAAAGAATTTGAGAAAATACATCAACAGAGCAATTACTAGTACCTCAGGGAAACCTTGCATGCTTGATCTTGTATTCAATGAATTCAATATCTGGGCGCCTTTTGGAATCTATGTAAAAATTATTAATTTAAGAAGATGATTCGTAATTCTTAAAATATCGAAAAAAATTCTTTAAATAATTTAAACAATTCAAAAATCATATTTAATTATAATAAAATAAAATTCATCTGCGGAATCGATAATTTATGTTTTATTCTTACATTGCTATACAAGAAGAGTAGCATTTCTTTCGTCATTTTTCTGTCCAGGTGATTTATCAGATCAGGGTGCTTTAAAACGCTCAAAAGCATGCGGTTTCCTGATCGAATTATATTTTTGCACATGTTGTCTGTATGTATCTAAAACAAATATATTTATTTTTTATATTCTTGATATCAAAGTAAATAGTCGATTAAGAAGTAAATTTGTGATTCTGTCTGTATGCAACTGAAACCAACCTTTTCTATTTTCGATTCTTCTGAAAATAAAAGCAAAATGTATGTTACGATAAAAGTTAAAGAAAATTGATCTTCTAGTTTGGAAAGTTTTAGTGAAGACACTCATATTGCTATACTACTATAGTTGTTTTATGTATCTGCTTTCAAGATTATTTTCAAAGTATTTCATTTTATGCATATATAAATGTACCATATTGTTACCCATTCAGTTCATACATCCAGCAAGTCAAACGTACCCCAAAATGCTATCCTGACCACGTTCGATTCAAACTCCTCTATATCGGTTATCCAGAGTCTTTCAATCAGGCTTTTCCTTACTTTGAGTGTCTCAATCATTTTTCGCGCATCCTCAGTATCATCTTGTTCAAAGACATGAACACTTCTCGCTACATAAAAATCGTCTCTAAGAACTTTTATTTGAACTAATATGTCTGCTACACCTCCACTGCCCTATAAGCAAGGTAGAAAGTTGCTCTATTTGAATTCAATCTTTCACTTGTAAACATGTAAAATGTATATTTTAGATATGATGAAATATGAAGTCCATTGACACACTACCAATTTGGTGCAAAGCTCTAGTGATACATACATACCATTACGGTATTATAGGAATCTGGTCATTTATTAAAGATTTAATAAAAGAAATACAAATGGATACCTTAATGATAAGAACTGGTATCGATGATGCAAGAGCACTTATCACTTTTCTTAGTGCATGAAGTTTTCCACCATAGACAATCAATATTCTTGGTAACCTTGTTTCATTGTCATACAAACCACCTACAATGGATGATTCACTGCTTTAAAGCATTTTACTTAATTTTTTTTCCGATTGCTACATGTACATATTGTTGTACTGAGTATTTATGTATTTATACATGTAAATATTGTTGTACTGAGTACCACTTTGTTTTGAAAGAAGGTTTTCGACTTTGCCCATGGCATCGTACTGTTGCTGCTTGAATTTGCTTGGTTGTTGTGATATGAGGAGAAAATGGAGACCACTATCCAGTGTGTTGTTATTGGTACAAAAGTCAATAGGTCCCTAAAGTTTGTTGTAATCAATGAACATGGAGAGAGAAATTATTGATAAACTATGTAAATAATTCATTGTAACTTCCATTTTCATCTTAAAATGGTAGTGATCATGCAAACAAACTAAAAGCCAAAATTATGTAAATAACATAAAAAATCATAATGAATTTTGATAATTAAAAAGATTTTCAGCAGATGTTAATTTGTTCTTAAATAATTATCTTTAATTACTGAAAATGATGAATTATTATTTTATTGGTCATTCTGCAAAACCTACCCATGCTATGTCGTCCCAATTTATAATTCCAATGAACCTTATTTGCGATTTTGCCAACAAAATACGGTCGTCATTAATTCTTTGAACAAGTTTAGCCCACATTGATACATGTTGCAATGAAAACCCATTGGTAATCACCAGAGATTCTGAAGCGGAAAAAATATTTAATTTTTAACCTTTTCCTTTGCTTTTCTGAGTCTACTTTCAAATAATAAATGCTGTAAATGTCCCACCTGTTGATGTTATAACATTTTCTAAAGCAATTTTAAAACATCTAAACAGTGTTGTTTCCAATGGGGCATCACATCCATCGACCAAACTAAGTACGAGTCCACAGCTTGTGTTAAATAGCATCGAGCCAAAGGATAGCACCATTTTGTTTCCTTTCTCTTTACTTTTAAGATATCTCTCTATTTCATGAAAAGTTCCACTGACAAACTGTAATATAGGTAACAAAATAAAAATTTCCTTCCGACTATAGTTTTCTTAAAAGACTAAATGTACATTGTCAACTTACAGGAAGACAGCTTCTTTCTTTGTACAAGTCTCCATATTGACAAAGGTGGTGTTTATTGCCTGAGTATGAAAAAAATACAATTATTCGCAGAAGACAGTTTCTTTATCTAAATTCCAATAGATATGTACTGTAAAATTTTCCAAATTTATAGAGGTGGCATTCATTGCCAAAAACAAAAATATATTTCGGAACTTACTCTCAACCTTTTCTACAGTGAATCCATTGATGACATCTCCTTTGTTTATAATTCCGTAGTCATCAAATTTTCGACATACAACACTTACTTTCATCATTTGAATCGACTTATTAACTGATGTTCCTCCATGTGTTGAATTTTTCTTTAGTTTTTAAAGCTCAAATCATTTGTGGATAAGCATTATAAACTTTCCTTTGGCACTGTGTTGTAATTTTCCGGAAGAAATGTTTCCTTTGAATTAAATCTCCTGAACGCTCTTTAGATAAAAGAACAATGCTTGTAAAATGAGACACTATTTACAAATTAAATTTTCCGTAGAAACCCAAAGGAAGTAAGTGCAATTATTTTATTTAAAAAAGTATCAAAAGAATCTATGTTTTTTTATTTTGTCAAGTCGATTTTACAATAGATAGTCGATATTTATAGTCATAGTCGATAAACAATATATAAAAAAAACTTACGATCCAGGTATCATATGCCAGAAAATGTGATTAGTACCCATATCATTGTTCTTTTCTATAAATGATCAAGGAAACTCGCGTTATGAAATGTTTTGTTAAAATTAAAACATGATAAGAAGAATTATAATATCGGGAAATTTTGTTAGTTCCAAGTTTTTGGTTTATTTTTTAACTACTCAGTAGATAAATTCAGGATTTTAAAAAAGCGTGTTTAGGCCCCCAAAAATTAATCAATAAACCGCTACATCAGTTCAAAAATGGCCGCATAATGATCAATTTTAATTTACATTTTTTGAAAAGGGAAATAACTTAATTTTCTATTTGTTTCAAGTTGAAAAAGAAAATTGAGATATTGGTTTTTTGATGATGCTAAGATAGACGTTTTTATTAGAAAAACAATATATTTCTTCTTTATTTACAAATTTTATGAATTAACTTTTAAATAAATGTTTTTTCAATAACATTATTTAAAGTTGAATGCATATTATAATTAATTTCAGAAAACAAAAATTAAGAATCAGTAGATTTATTTTATCATTTTATTGTACAAATGACTTTAAAAAAGTGCAAAACCTGTTTCAAAAAAAAAAAAAAAAAAAAAAAAAAAAGCCTGCCTGCTGCATTGAATTTTGAATTTTTTGGCCTGAGAAACTATCCATTAATTTTTTTGGGCCTTAAATGTTTCAAATTAAACAATAAAGCTACATGTTCAATATATGTTGATTTATAATGACAATTATGTAATTTAATTTTTTGCTACAAGAACTACTTATTTTCTGTTAGTGTGTTGAATTATTTTTCAGACAAAGTAAAGTGGACCATTTAGATATTGGTTTAATGTTGATGTGCTAAGGTTTACCATTTGTAGCTATGGAATGTGATCATGTTATAGTGGGGGAACATTTTAAAAACAATAAAAAATATCAGGTAAGATTAATTTTTTTTCAATAATGTATATCTTATGGTTGAATCATATCATCTCCTTCGTGAACGGTGTTCTCTTGAACAGAAATTTACACCTTTGATTTTTTATAGTACTTATATGGAAACGCGGGCGATATCCAAAGATATTGGAAGCATGAAGAAAGTTTGATTGAGAAAGAAACCATCCGACAAAGTTTTCTTGACAATATCTATGGTGATAAGGATTCCTTTGCATCTATGCATGGTGTTCTTATTTCAATTCCTGACGATTCCTGTACATATGAAAAAGTGTATAATAAAGATTTAATTTTGAAGTTCAGTGAAAGTGTTCAAAAGATATTTGCTTTTACAGGTACATGTATATAAAATGTTTAATACTTTATTTCTTTTGTCATCTGCTTAACTGAATATATGTACCAAGGCCGCTTTGGCGCTACTCAATCATATTAGATTATCAAAAATTACAAAAAAAGAAAACATTCAAACGTATTTACAAATTATTTTGATAATTTTGAAAGATGCTTTAGTAATTCCAAATGGTCAAAGTGGCATTTTAACCACATTGGTTGGCAAAGCTGTGGGATTTATAAGAGATGCTGAGAAGTTCTCAGAAAAGAGACTCAACGTGGCTACAGTTGGCATTCTTCATGCAGTTGATATTTTCAAACCGGGAAAGGTAAATTTTCATTCCATTTTAATTTTGTTTAAATTTGATTTGAAAGTACTCGGTAATATCTATTCAAACTTGGCAATTCATTTGTGTAGGATCTGGAAATGAAAGAAAATATACTTGATACTGCTAACGGCAGCTTGATAGCAATTCGAGATGGGGCGTCATTAGATATCACAGCCATTCAAATTCTACTTCAGAAAGGTAAGGGTTGAGTCAGGAGGACCCATATGCATGGATTAATTTATTCATATCGTTCTCCATTTTCATTGTAAATATAGTCAGAATGGTTATTTTTAACTATTTATGCCAAATAATCGGTCTTAGAACATACCACTAAAAAGACAATAAGTAGAAGTCACTATCAATAATTTCACTTTATATTTTTGAGAAAAGATTAATTTCTGAACTTCTTTTGCATGTATCATAGACCCTCGTACACCAACGAATGAGACCACTCCCCTTGTTATAGTTGTCTACGGTGGGGGGTTGCAGACCCTGGAGCAAATCAAGCTGGCATACCTTAAAAAGATTCCCTTTGTAATCGTAAAGGTGAGAGTTATTCATGTTATTGTTTGATTAAATGTGGAGATAATGCAACAGTATTCAAATGTTAATCATTAAGATTGAAACAATGAAAGTCGGGAGCATAGCAAACACTGACATATTCTTTAAAGCATCATAGATGGGATCATATGCCATAAGATCAAAAAACGATTTGTTGGAGTGGATGAAGGATCGAAATGTTTTTGTTACTTTTGAAGCATGTAAACACAAGATTTCTTGTTTCATTTTAATTTACTAGTTAATGTAAAAATAATATTCTTTATAGGGAAGTGGAGGCATTGCAGATGTTCTTTTAGTGATACATGAACGACTCAATGGTACAGGAGCAACAATTAAATCAAAGGAAAAAATATTACCTGATAAACCACTCCTACGATCTATCTTCACGTTGGAGAATGACTTAGTGGAAGCTATATCCATTCTCTCTGACTTAATTGACGAAATGAAGTCACAAAGTGATCTTTTTCAAGTTTGTCAGAATTTGGATTTCTTAGGAGTCCACATCACACGAGCTGCTTTTCTTGGTAATATATATTTCCTAATGTATGATTTTGATTATAGGATCTGATATGAATGAAATTAAAATTTATTTTCATGATGAAAGCACGTGTTTTGCCATTCAACATACCCGGTATACAATGAAATAAAATTGAGATTTATTTTCAGATTCTGATATGGATAAAATGGTACGTAAGTAGATACATGTACATGTACTTTGAAATAATAATTGGAGTTTTACTTTTGTTTTGTTTAGTAAGATATATTTTCCCTCGTTTAATGCAACAGGATTTTCATTATTTTTTTTAAATTCTTAGAGGTATAAAACCAATTTCATGTTTGGAAGAAGTGTTTCAATATTTTGATAAATACAAATGAAAGAAATATTTTCTTACCACTAAATAAAAACCAAACTATAACATGTTCAATACTCTTCTGTAGGTATCATCCCGTGTCCTGGGCTGCAGGATAATAGAGAGGGGACCCCAACTGTTTTGTGATCTCCTGTGCGATTATGAATATCAGAAAGAAAATCTAGGAGAAAAACTCCTCGCCCGACTAACTTGGGAAGATATATTATATCTCTATGGCAGGGTAAGAATCTTTTCGGTTAAACATATGTAATAATGAGGAGATATCAAAGTGTTTTCTTCTTTTTCAGATTTCTTTTATATAATTATTTATTTTACTTTGGTTAAATTTTTCCTATGTAGCTTCCAGACGAAGCTCAAATCAAATCTTCATTAAAATCAAAGGTAAACATTAATTACATTTTTAATAATCTTTTTACAAATCTATTGATGCTGAAATCGGAACCTTACACCTTCATTTAAACATGATTTCTTTTTCAGAATCTATCATTTTATGGTATAAATGTAGTGTTTAAGAAACTCTTACAAAGAATTCAATCCGACATTCTTAAACTTATCGAACTTCGTGAGTATATTTCAGAGATTCATAAACCTGGGGTCTATTTATAATAATATAGTTTTTTGAAATAAACGATTTCCTGCAATTTTGTGGCCATACATGTAACAACCAGTCCAAAAATATATGTTTTATTTATTTGTTAGCTACCTCTAAACTGCAGAATGATAAAGGAAAAGTAATGAGAAGTGTTCATCACACAGAGCAAAAAAGAATTCCGATAGTAAATGGATTAGACCCCCATCAACCCACACACCTGGACATTTTTATTTGGTATCTTGTTTCTGAACAGACAAGTGTGACCAAGTCATTTTGGGTGAGATCAAAACAGGTACAAAAGAAAAAAAACAAATTTTAGATCGACATTTCTCACTGATTACAGACTTGATTCAGAAGAGTAATAATTTCGTTTTGCATTTAATACAGATGACAATACGAGAATGTTTCGTGGCTTGTGCTCTTCTTGATGGTTTGAAACACATTGTTTACGGATCTAAGACTTTAGAAAAAATTCAGTTGACTTCTGAGTAAGAATGTTTCCTTCTCTACTTATGAAAAAAAAAGTTCTTTAGGTTAGCTTTACAATCAATTCGAGTTGAAATATTATTAAAACACTTAGTTCAATTCTATCCAAAAAAAAAAAAGAAAAAGAAATGTTTTCCAACTCTTTTTGGATAAGGTTCAAATTCATGCAAGCTCTGTTACTAATCAAAGTATCTCTTATTGCATGTTAAGACATTAATACGTATAACCTTTTTATCATTATTTAAGCAAAATATTGTTTTAAATATCATAATCATTTCATTTCCTTCAGAAAATTCATCAGCCATGCTACCAATCTTTTAAATGAATGCTATCAATACCATGATTTCTCAGTGGAAGTCCTTAGCGGTATCAATGCAATGGAAGACTGTAACAATGTTGAAGAAACAGAGGAGAGGACAAAGGATCCAAAGCTGTTTACGGAATTACTGCTTTTAATGAAACCAGAAGATTACCTGTCAGTGGCATACAAACTCCACAAGACTGAATTCTTCAGACATCGGTCGGTTAGAGACGTGCTTCATAGAAAATGGATAGGGGAGTGTACATCTAAAAAGTTACAATTACTGGTAAATAAAAGGACGAATATTATATTTAATCAATCTTTGCTTTATAATAGAGATAAAATATAATCAAATGAAATACACCATATAAGGAGATAACATGAATTATACATAAATTAACATGCTGCTTTTTGTTTTAGAAATTGTTTCTACCTCTGCTTATTCTAGCCATTTTCCCGTTTGCACTTCCTGTTGCGTTGTAAGTATTTTTCAGGCATGCTGGAAGTAAAGTTCTTTTTTTCCAAAATTTATGACCAAAAAAAAAAAAAGATAACATTTCTTTCCTTAATAGGGTGGTGAACATAAACTTTGTAACCAGAGTTGTCAGCGATTTTAACGTACCTGTCATCAAATGTATATTTCTCTTCGTGAGTACATATTTTAACTTTTTTTAGAAAAGTTTTTTATCATAGGTTTTTAGAAAAGCTGTTTGATTAATCATTGAAATGATATCCAATAAAATAAAGCTTAGTGAAGCAAATATATAAATTTCTAATTGAAATACACCAAGACATTGTGATCATTAAACCATTTATCTAAAAATTTAATATTTGAATTTATATGATATTTTACCTCGATAATAGATACCATACATCATTTTTGTCCTGCTTCTTTCCTATGAATTATTGGTGGACTTCTCTTCAGGACTGAGTGGATTAGACTATTACCTTATTCTCTACATTGTGTGCTACACGACAGAAGAAATTCGACAAGTACTTAATGAAATGCCAAACTATTTTTTTTTAAAGTTTTTTTTTACCCTTTGATGTTTTTTTTTAAAAATACTTTTGGTTTTTAACAGTAAAAATTTAGATTCTCAAACAAGAATCTAAAATTTTCACTGCTAAAAACAAAATTAAAAAAAAAAAAACGAGAAAAAGCTTTCTTTTTTTAATATAGATGATACCATCTTCAGGGATCAAATATGTTACCTACCTCCGGAGTCATTTTAGGTGGTGGAACCTGAATGACATTTGTTGTATTGTGTGTTTTGTGGTTGGAATTGTCCTGAAATTAGTTGAAATACTTGATATATCCAGAGTTGCTCTTGCAATTGATGTCACTTTATTTACACTAAGGGTGCTTGCTCTGACGGCTGTGTCAAGAAATCTTGGACCTAAACTAGTTATGATTGGAAAAATGGTAATTGTGTTGATGATCTCACTCAAAAAAATTCTGCACTATGGCTCGCTATTGTGGTATACTATAATTCTGACTTATTTTGCTCAGAAATCTTATACCTTTCATTTTGGTTCATTTCAGTTCGTTGATGACTTGATACCATTCATGGTGATCTTGTTTGTGTTCATTCTTGGATTCTCCATTGCTGATTACAGCTTACTTTATCACGACTCAACCCTCAGCTACGGCCTGGTAGAGAGGGTACTTATGAGTGGATACTGGATACTCTATGGAGAGAACAATTTAGAGGAATGTAAGCATTTTACATAAATCGTATTTTGAAAAAAAATTGTAATGCGCCATGTCCTTTCAATGCCAGCTTGAATAATACACTCAAGCACTTTCAGGAAATATATGAGTTCTTCTTCAAATTATTTATTTCAACAAGTTTAGGTGCTTATCAAATACTTAAGTTGACAGCTTGATTTTTATCCACATATCCTGTGCTTGCAACTGACTGTTTTTTTTCTCCGAAATTTGTTTAAATTCATTTCAAATACTCACTGTTTTTTTTAAGTTGACGGATCTCAGTGTGAAAGCTCGACATCCCCCTGTCCCTCTGCTCTAGGCGTGGCCGTAGTGCCTTACATACGGGGATTCTTTGCTCTCCTCAGTGTAGTGCTGTTACTCAACGTTCTTATTGCCATGTTCAAGTAAGTCACCCCGCAGATACCGTAAAATTTGCCGATCTATTTACTCTGATATGCATTAATTTGTAAAATTTAGATGGATATTATAAATTTTCACTTTTGTATTTATGGGTTAATGAATAATTATACAAAATATAGTTGTTAAATTTTCTATAATATCCATTTTAGAAAAATGCTCTATATTTTGTAATTCTCAATAAAATATATATTATTGCTCATAATTAGTTAGGAAAAAAGCAACCATTTTATAAGTAGTCCAAAGTCAGTCACACTAGGTAATTGTATCAACGAATCCAGTGATCCAAATCAAATCCCTGCGCAATAAAATAATGTATTTAAAATAATTTTTATCTTTTACTTACAGTGACACATATAGAAAAGTCCAGGATGTTAGTTACATGCATTGGATCTACAATTACAATGAACTCATAACTGAATACGAGTCTAAACCCCTCCTCCCTCCCCCATTCCTTGTGTTGATCATACCCCACACTATTGTGTACTGTATTGGATGGATACTGAAGTGTAAATGTAGAAAATCAGATGATATTGGTGACAGTGTAAACTCCAAAAATGGAGATTTCGTGAAGGGTCTTCTACTTATCAAAACTGGTAATTTAAATATTTGCTTTTAAAAAAAGAAACAATTTTCCGTTAATTTTAAGACTTTTGAACTTTGAAAAAAAGTTAAGGTAAGAATATTTTAAGAATTTATAATGAACGGTACATATACAAGACATCTTAGTTTTATTTAAATCTTTCATAAAAGTGCATGAATTTGCATAAATTTTAAAGCATTATTTTTTTTTTTTATTTTTAAAGTATATTTGACATCTGGTGATCCGTATGACAAATATCGAAAACAAGCTGGGTTCAAAAAGAAGCTACATCAATTTGAAAGAAAGGTCAAAGAAATGTACCGAAAACGGTAAGATTTGTAAGAGGCAGCGAAGTTGAAGGATGGATGTTGAGTAGGGAGAATTTAAATATGATTTCCCTGTACAAATGATTTCGTGTTTTATTGTATATCCGTTTTCTTCTTTCCTAATGCATAATGAATACACTGTATATAATCCAAAAAAATAGTTAATAAACATAAAACAAAATACATTAATATCTTATAGTACTAATCATGACCATATTTATGTTAATTTTAATCGGTTCACCGATTTTATTCTAGATGCCTTGAGTAATGTTAAGAAAATATTTAAAATAAACTTAAGAGGTACCATGAACACTGAGCCCACACTGATACCCCTGCTCAAGCATGAGTATAAAATGTCAAGTTCCTTTTTTCCCCACAGAATATCCCAAATATATAACTATCCATCAGAGCATATGTAGCAAAGGAGGCGCACAATGTCACTTTGTAATAAAGATTCTTTGAAAGTCTCGGTAAATTCAATTCGTATGGTATAAGAGGAGTTGTGAATAAGAGATGGTTATCTTTTAATTATAAAAGAATATCAAAGTCTATATTTTGCTATGGATCCCCCCTTCTCCGTGTATCTTTAATTATCAACACGTAATATCAGTGGTGCATACTGGGACTATGTAATGAAGATTCTGAGAGGGTTTCATTAGACTATATTCAGTGGTATAGGAGGAGTCACGGTAAGAGATGTGTACCTCATATCACTATATGCAATTTAGGGAAACTCCCGCCAAATGTTATTACATAGTGCACCTTTTTTTTTATATTTGTATATATAACAAACATGGACATCGCCATTCTTCCTAAAGTATTGGAGATTTTCCATTTATAAGCTACTGATATGTACCACTGAATAAATTTTAAGGAGGCTATCACAGAATCATATCTATATACCGCAATTGTGCACCTTCTTTAAATTTTGATTGGATAGATATTTGAATATTCCCAAAGCAAAAATTGAACTTTTCCATGATACTCATTTGGGACCAAGGGGGGGGGGGTTACCATTATGTGAGCTCACTGCACATAGTACAAAATCTTTTATTTTGTTAAATTTTTGAAATATATTTTTCGCTTATTCAGTTCTTCACATATTGAAACAAAGAAGTCTTCATTGAAACAAAGAAGTTCAATATGTTTCTGTTACTTATCTATTAAGACAAAATTCCAAGTTAATCAAAATAATTGCCAAAATATGTTCTTAAAAGTTATCAACATTCTTTTTCAGGCTTATACAAAAGAAAGTTAAAAGAAATGAGGTTAGTTTCCTATTGGATTGAGAGTGATGGAATAAAAATGTCAGATGTGAACTTAAAAAAAAAATTTGATCAATGAATTTTACTTTTTAGACAATAATAGTTTTCTACCATTGGTTTCATTATTTTAGAATTCTGAAGAATCCACAAAGAACAGATTAGCATCTCTTGAGTTGGAAGTATCTAAACAGGTAAAATTGATTCCCTTTCCAACCAGAATAGAACTTTTAACTACTTGTACTTTAACCTGTAACTTTTAAATTGCAATATACACCAAGTACAGGTACAAGAATATTGAAAATTAAAAAAGAGACCATTTTCCATTCTATTTTTTCAGAGCAAAGAAATCGAAGCCTTAAGGAGAGACTTGGCCTTCCTCTTAAATGATTATTAAAGGCTGTTTAATTAAAAATTGAATTTTTCGTAAAAAAAAATCTTTAATATGAAGATTTTCAATTATCTTTATTCATTCACTAGAAACTCAAAAATGTTGTGTAATGTGTACATGATATTCATTTTATAAATATGATAAAACCATCTTTATATGTACAAAAAATAAATTTCCAAATTCACCTCTTGCTTTTTTTCTTTCTTTTTTAAGATTTTAATAAAATGAAAAATAATGAAATTGGTCAGTCAACTGATGTTATATGTAAATCAACTTTATCATGAACCCTTTTACACCCAGTAAGTGAGTACTCCACACGGCTGCCAGCTGGATGGAAAAAACTCATCTCTTTGACAATTTTCTGCACTAAGTCGTTTGATGGCACTCTCTTTTTCTGGCGTAGATCTTGCTTGATGCATTGCTCAACATGAGTTTTGTTCAGCGGTAAAAATGGCACATAAATATCAATGAGATTTTCTTTGTGTAGTTCGTGATACCACTCTTTTTCTGAATTTCGATGCAAAAGAGAAACAATTTCTTCGTAGGTCAAATCATCTCTTTTTCTTCCTGCTGCTATTTCAGTGAAAAGGAAGTTGTTAATTTCTGTTCCTTTTGAGTTGCTGAGGAAAATGAAAACTATCCATTGCCTGTCAAACTCCTTCTTTTTCAGTGAAATCAATACTGATTTTAGTCCTTTAATCAAAGAAGGAGGAGCTTTATCCATTTCGTCAAAAATGAAGACATTGAATCGACAATCCCTGATATGTTTTCTTACTGACTTTATAATGTCTTTTGCGTAAGACGGAATGGTGGATGAAGGAAAATGCATAGGAACTAAGAACATTTTTGTATGACGAGTGTGTAATGAATTCAAAATTATTTTTGTCACAAAATTTTTCCCTACTCCTGTCCATCCATGGAAAGAGAAAATAATAGGTTTCAAATGAGAATGATTTGTTTTTAAGGACTGCTCCCAGTATTGTGAGAATGTGGATATAGAAACATTCCTTGCTATGTGCTGCCCAAACAGAAAACTGTCAAAATTTCTTTCGAGATTTGGAATGTCCACAAACAATTCACACACAGTTTGCGATAGATAAAGTTTTCCAGCAAAACAAAGTCCTATCAAAATAGCCCAGAGGATGAATTTTCCTTTAGTGTTTCTGAATAATGAAGGCTTTTCCTTTTGTTTTCCTGTTTCTGGTTTATAATCTGGATGCCCAGGGCCAAGGAGTCTGGGTTTTTTCGGTAATGGTCCACTCAAGCTGTGCCGTTTCTTAGACGTTAAACTTCTAATAGAATTATTACCACTTAGGTCTTCACTAATTGTTCTCTGAAATCCAGTAAACACAGTTTTGTCTTTTCTGTTTCTTATTACATCAATAGATATTGATCTTCCAATATGTCTGGTCTCACTTCTGGTTGGGGAAGAAGAACATACAGTGGCATTCAAATTCCAATTCTCTAAACTTTCAGTAAATCTGCTTGGCAAAGTTTTTGCACTGAAGTAGTCTCTCTCTTCCCCAGAAATATCCATAGGTTCCTCCTCTTCCATTCTATAAAAATAAAATTTACTGATGCACAAGAATCATTTTAGTCACAGAGACATCATAATTTAACCGAATCCCCGTGCATTCTGGAAAGTCAGAATAATAAGCCGGGATTAGGTAGATATTTTTCAGTTGACCTTTTTTTCTATGAACTCTAGATGGTGTGTTATGAACAGATGCTGAATTTTTGTCTTTGCTAATCTATAACTCTACGAAGTATGAAGAAGTTCAAACATTGTTACACAATACATCAATCAATAATTGAATTTCAACAATTAAGAATCACTAAAACTTTTCGTAAATAATGGATGTGTAAATAATGAATTTGCTTTAATGCTCGGTAAATTTGATCAGAGATATAAAGGAAACACTATTTAAAGAATACTGAACCACTAGAAGTTCAAGGAATATTGATCATGTTGTAGCAATGGAAAAGCAAAGGGCAATAACTCCAAAATTTGACAAAATTTTGTTGTCAAAAAATGGTGTAAAAAATAAAACAAAAGGGTGGTAGTGTATTACGGGCTGATACAGTGAGACGATGACATATACAGTCTTAAATTTTTTTCAGAAACCTTCTTGAAGTATTACTGCTAGTGTATATCGATGAAAATCAATTAATTGCATCATTTTCATGAGAAAAAAATAATAATGATCGAAATATTTCTTTCTCGAGAAAAAAATGAATTTCAGAATATACACCCAAAAGACCCGATTTTTATGAAACAGTAAAGTAATTTCTATGAGAATTTTACTTAAAAATTATTTTAAATCCTTGTATTCAACACCAAATCATGTTTTATGACATGGACTATTTTAGCCTGATAAGGTGTGTCAGGATCCTATTAAATAGGGTGCAAAATGACACACCATGTGAATATCTTGCTTTCAACAATTTAGTTTTTTTGACTGTGTTAGGTGACGTACAGTGGTGATGATCATACCAGAAGGGGGGGGGGGGTATTCAGCATATAACAGTGTTGGCTTTTCACTTTTTATATTGAATTTCATTGAAAATTACAGATGGTCTTCTAAATACACATATACACACTCAAGAAATGATAAGTTACTTAATACAGTAATTCCATGTACACATGAAGATCGTTACATCCCCCCCTTTTCAAGCCAAGCTTATCCATATCAAACTACACTAGTACAGATCAATTGGATTTACTTCATAAAAATATATCAACAATAATTCAAATTTAATTTAGAAAATACAGTGCAATTAATCAAGGAGAACTTTGCACATAACAGACTATCAGAGGAACAACATATGTAGTGTATATTTAAAGTAGGTTAATGAGAAATTATTGGACTTAGAATTCAGTCATTTATCATGTTTATCTTCTTGAACATGAATACAAATAAATCATGTAATTACAAACTATCTGATCATGATATGTTTTAAGTTTCTATTTAGAATGATGAAAACGGTTACTACATTTCAAACTTAAAAGTTCTGGCAACCGTACAATATTTGATTTTCATGTTATAAATATATAATATACACTAGGAAACAATTCAAATACATATTTTTTTGTTTATGTAGTAATTGTAAAGAACTTTGCATTAAATTAAGAACAGCAGCTTAATAGATTTTGTCCCTTTGATTTTTTTTAAAAATGGCAACAATTTATGTTTTAAGTCATGTGAAAACATAAAAACCAAAATTATCATAACTTCTTTATTTTTCAACCGATTTTAAAAAATGAAATTGTTTTGGAAATGGTTTTGAAGGCTCTTAAATATAAAGCATTGTTTTTTAATCTGAGAAGTGCTTTTAAAAATCATGTTCCATAGCTACATGTTGATTAAAATATGGTTATACTGTACCAGGTACTGGTAATGAGTTGTAAATATCACTTAAATTGTGAAGAGAATACGTTCACTAATAAATAAATATAATACAATTAATCTTCAGAGCTATGAGAGATTTTGATGCAGCACTTTTCGTGTAATTTTTCGACAGTAGTGTTTACTAATCTCTTGCCAATATTCTAGTATTTATTGTCTATTAAAATGTTGTCTATGCACTTTTTATGTTGTTGTGTTTATGAAAAAGTTCATCAAAAGAGTATTTTTATTATAAGAACTATAAACCTACTTAATATATTTGTTATTCGGAAGAGAGACAGTATCCTTGAACTGTTTTGTTCTCCTGTACGTTAAGGAAAAAAGTCCAAACCGTGAAAACGTCAGATTTTACCTTTCGGCTAACAGGTGCTTGGTAATTCAAACCAAAAACACTCCATGTTAACATGCTTTGTGCTATCATCAAAATGCGGTTTATTTGATGATTAAAATGAATTTCTATGGTAAAATATTAATCATATGTTAACCTGAAATAAAACATGATGTGTATACTTTGATATTGTTTTGAAAAAAATTGATTTTAAAATCATAAATAGACTGTAGCGCGAGTTAGCAAATCTTTGTTGTGATTAGTTACCACTTCATCCGGTTTTGCCTTCGCGCACTTTGGCTGTTGGATGATAAGTTTTGTATCGTACGTATTGCTTCAATAGTTGGTAATGCATCAATGTTTTCATATAAATTAAATTCATATATCAGATATAGGCATGAACCTATCAATTTCTACCAATTCTGCATGAAGTAGACTACTCACTAGTCGATTAGGAAAGGGGGGGGGGGCACTCGTGAAACCTACCTTTCCCACTTAGCTGTTTCGCATTCATATTGACAATAAAACCCTTTCTTCAAAATGTCAAATGACATAATCTTCCGATATCCTTCGCCACAATTATATGTCGATCTAATAAAATAAAACTAAGTGGATACACAAATTTGCATCTGCATTAATTAAGGATGGAATCATTGATCATGTTGATTGATTGTATGTTGTTTAACGACCCTCTCGAGAATTTTTCACTCATATGGAGACACTACCACTTGCCGGTGGAGATCTTCAAATTTTGTCCTTACTTGGCACTCAGGGCCATTGAGCAGGTAGGGATCTTTCTCATGCCAGCACCTGCTGTGTCCTGGGACCTCGGTTTATGCGCTCTCATCTGAAGGACCGGTCTCCACGTCCCACAGTGGGATTCAAACCTGCGATGTAAGGATCAACTCCTTACTTTGCGGCTCTAGAGCAGACACTCAAACCATTGCGCCACACAGGCTCAAGAACTTAAATAGGCCTATATGAAGATCAACATATATAGCCTAATTTCTTGACTTCAGATTTTTGAACCGCCTTATTTTAGAAGCAAGATTTGACATATTCTTTTATTTTAATTATACAGATTGTAAAGACAAGTTTCAGCAAAAATGTAAACAAAAGTTGACACCATCTAAAGGAATTCTAGAAAAATGACGGAGAGGCCATCTCATTTTTCCTCCCAGGGACTGAGCCATAGCTTCAGTATGGCGAGTCTTGCTGAGGGGAGCAGTGAGCCTATCTCAGAGGCTGAAGAAATAAATGAGGTTAACTATTGATCACTTGTGAATTTTTCTTGTGAATTTTTTCTTTTTTTCATATTGTAATAATTTAATTTTTTTCTGATTTCCATGTTAGAATATATTTTACTGCATATATATTCAAACACAAAACAGTCCTTGATAATTAAATAAATTATGAAATGAAAAAAAGCCCCATCATATGAAAATTGAAATTTTTCTTATGCTTAATAATTTTATCTTTTTCACCTTCAGATGAAATCACTAACTGAAATGGGAAACAAAGCAATGCAGATTCGAGACTTTAATGAAGCCATCAAGCACTACGATGAAGCTCTAGAAATTGATGATAAAAATGTTGAGGTTTTAAATGCCAGAATACTCGCTTTTATTGAAATGAAAGATTTTAAAAGGGCACACAAAGATGCAGAATACTGGATTTCACTGGATTCAGACAGTGCAAAGGTAAATTACGATTAAATGTAGTGTATATATAGTACTGAGCAAACATCTTAAATTCCCTAACTGCAGACCTATAGCTCACTAGTCTGTAGTAAATAATGCTGTAAATGTATTATATTTGGCATCTACGATATATGGCAGAAATGAATTTTTCATCAAGTTAGTGTAAATCTGATTTAGCGATTTCTAATTGTGCTAGATATAAAATATAATATACAAGACATTTAGCAATGTACTTGATTTAGCGGATTCTGTGTTCTGCCAAAATCTCTAAATAGAAAACACTACTAAATGGAATAAGATGCATGGCTTTTTTAAAAACCTGTCGGTGAGCTATACATATATCTGCAGCTGCTAGTACCCATTCGTAGCTTTAATAATGAATTGATTCAAACCTTGATTATGTAAAGATACCTTAAAATGTCTCTTTTTGAAAATATGAATTTATTACTGAACGATTGATGTAAACTCTGTATAGTAGTCCTTTTGAATCACATATATTCAAAATTTGATTCAGTTAAATTAAAATATTACATTTTAAACATTAGTTTTAATCCCCACCTTTGTATGGCAGGCTTTCAGGTTCTTAGGAATGACCTTACATGAACTGGACAGACCTGGAGAAGCCTTGAATGCCTTCTTGACAGCTCTTGACCTTGACCCTCAGAGTGCTGATGAACTGACCACTAGTATAGCTACTGTGTCCACATTCTTCTGTGAAATACCCCCAGATGTCCTCAGAAAGATCAAAGGTACACAGAAAGGTTTTATTGAATGTGAAAAATAATAAGGTTATAAGTACATGTTTTATTGTGACTAGCAGTTTGCATATAACTGAGTTTGATATAATTCCATTCATGTTGTACATATTTTAGAATAACATGCACTATTTTAATTCATATTGATTTGAATGATTTATAGATGGTTATATTCATTTGTTTATAATTCTGGTATTTGAAGAAAATTGTATTGTGTTTAGAACATGAACAATAGAATGCCAGTTTGATTCAATTGATTTTGCAGATGTTTTCACCTGTTTACAACCACTCTGTGTTATATTTTTTTTAGGAATGGACCCCTACAAGAAGCTAAGTGAGGTTGGAGTCTGTTTATTCCAAAGCAAGAAATATGAGCTAACTATCAAGATTCTAGAGGCAGCTCAAAAGTTTGAAACAAACCAGAAAGGAATAACAATGAGAGTGCTTCTAACAATGGCAAATTCCTTCTCGGCCCTAAGGAAGAATGAACAAGCAATTAACTTGTACCAAGAATGTCTCAGCACAGCCATGGCTACCCATGAGCAGATATACCAGACAAAATCATTGGTTAACATTGCTACATTATATTTGGAAATTAAAGATACCCATCAGGCCATTGTGTACTATGAGAAATTGTTAGATTTGGAGGCAGAGATCAGAGAAGAGGCTGGGTCTGAAGAAAATTTTCCTGATTTTTGGACAAAAGAGTTGCAATGTGGACTTCATTTGAATTTAAGTATTGCTTACAAATCCATTGGAAACATGGCATATGCTGAAAAACATGCTCGAAAATATGTGAAACTACTGGAGAAGTTTGGTATTGAAGGACGTGCACAGTCAGAGTCATACCACAACACGGGAATGTTGAATGAAATTCTGGGAAATTTTAATGAAGCTTTGAAAAATTATTCCTTGTACCTCAGGGTCTGCAAAAAGAATGGTGACAAAAAAGGCATGGCTCAGGCATATGGCTGTTTAGGAAGTGTATATGCCGCAATTCGAAATTGGAAACTATCAATTACTTACCATGAACAGCATATTGCCATGGCCAAAAAATTTAATGATCCCAAAATGTTAGTCATTGCTTATGAAATGATGGCAGACACATACATGGTCAAGGAGGACTTTGACAAAGCTGTTGAAAATTACAATCAAATGTTAAATTCATGCATAAGAACAGACTACAGAGCTAAATCTATGGCCTTCTGTAAACTTGGCAATGCTTACAGAGATATGAAAAAGATTCAGTATGCCATTGGATTTTATGAACAAGCTTCCAATCTGGCAGAGGATTTTGATTATGTAGATATTTTAACCATGTGTCACTACAACCTAGCCTGTATCAAAAGACACTCAAAACAAATGATGGAAATTGAGGAAGCTAGGAAATATTTCGAAAAACTTATTCCTTTATTTGAAACAAAAATTCGGGAACACAGAGATGAAGATACATACTGCCCATCAGAATATTATTCCCAGCTCCAAGAATGCTACGATGGTATTCAAAATGTCTTATGCAAAATGGGAAACAAAGAAGAATGTTTGCAGTATGCTGAAGCATACAGGAAACGCTTTATTACTCAGATCAAGGGACACCCTGTGTCGTACATAAACTTTGGGCCACAGACCGATTTCTGGGCAGTGGATCGTATGTCCCGATTGGTCAATGAACAGAATGCCGCTGTGGTTTACTATTCGGTTCTCAGCCACCGAGTTCTGAGTTGGGTGTTTGTACCGGGAAGTGGTTTGGTGCGGTTCTACTCTGGGAAGTCAGCTGATGTGGAAGATATGCAAGATAGGGTAATTGACTTAACTTTATTAATTATGACTGGATAAATTATCAAGCTAAAAGTTAAAAGGTCAAAATTTTATTTGAACTTAAATTCAGTGATTGATTTTTAATATTAAAGCACTTTTTCATGACCACCCTTTAATCTATAATCTGAGATTCCTTTGACTTTCACCCCCACTAATATAACATATGCCCACACATGTCATGTTATAAAAGCAGAGATGTCTAGTTGGTTACTGTTTTCCATCCCATTTTAGATCCAGATTTGCTTGGATGGTCTTAAAAACACACCCGACTGGAAAACCATGCAGAATTCTTGTGAAGACCGCTGCTTGCCAATTAGAAATGCTCAACTACAGTACACAAGGAGAAAGAACTTAGCCCTCGGAAAAGATGTGAAACAAGACACAACAAACAAAGACTTGTCAGAAGAGGGAAGCCCAAACAAAATTCTGTTTAATCTCCTTTTAGCCCCTGTGGAAGACATTCTTATGAAACTCCCCCAGAAGAGCCACCTTATAATTATTCCTGACAAGAACTTGTATGACTGTCCATTTGGCATCCTCCAAGACTGGAATGCCAGATACTTGTGTGACAGGTTTCATTTGACTTTATTGCCCAGTCTGTTTGCTCTGGAAAAAGTCATTAACAATGAAATGAACTATATGAAAGCCCAAGATGACCTTGACTTTGAAAGAAGCCAAACTAGAAATGGGGGGATGAACAGAGTTCTGGCGCAGATGGTAATGACCAATGCAATCAGTCCCGACGTGGAAAAAGAAGACACACATGATTCATATGACTTACGGAAAACAGCTAACCCTAGACTTCTGACTACAATGTTGGGCATGCCTGCTTCAGCAGGAAGCAATAAAGGAGAAATGAACTTAAAAGGTACACTCCCTTCTTCTCAAGAATCTCTCAGAGGTGTGTTTTCTCCAAGAAAGCCTTTACCGGGCATTGTAACTCATAACACTGCCAATAAATATCAGTCCCAAATTGGTAGCCCACTGCCCATGGAAAAAATGCTGAATGCTCATACATACACAATTTTGACCAATAGGACTTCAACAGGAACTGACATCACTTCCTCTACCATGTGTATTACATCATACCAGCAGATTTGTGATACAGATAAATGTGTGGTCTTTGGAAATCCAAAACTCCCTGAAAAGTAAGTCATTGATTATCCTAAAAATGAATTATCTTAAATTTATGTCTGAAAATTGATGTATATGTTATCTCTTTTGCATTTTGAAATATTTTTTAAACATTGAAAAATGGCACTGCCAATTTCTTTCAGACTTCTTGTTTATGACTGTGAATGGAAGCCAGCCAATGTATATCTACCAGCAGCTAAAAGGGAACTGAGTGCTGTAGCTTCCTATCTCAATGTTCATCCTATCACAGGACCAGATGCAACCAAGGAGAATTTCATATCAAGCATAGAAAATGCTACAGTCATTCATATAGGTAAATAATTGCTGAAGTAATTTTGTGTTTGATGGTAGAACATTGATATTGAAGGTGAGCACAGAGAAATAACCTGTGAATTAATTGCAATATACAGATAAAGGCATTACAAATGACACATAATGAATATGAGCAACTTCTGTATTTTCCACAGCATCCTATGGTTGTTGGAAGGAGGGATTCATTGTTTTCACTCCTGGGGAGGTGAAGTTACATGAGGGTCCTCCTCAGCAGTCCTCCTTTATTCTCTCACTGGAGGACATCATACAGCTAAAACTGAGGGCCAAGATTGTGGTCCTCAATATTGGATATGGTCCTAACAGATACAAAGAGTGTCTTCCTCCTGGCTTTACTTTGCCATCAGCCTTCCTCAATGCTGGTAAGTGGAAGCTTCTTCAAAAAAGTCGGGGCTCTGAAGGAAATTGCTTTTGTTCAATGTAAAAAGCAATCCATCTTCATGTATATAATGAACTTTTCTGTCAAAAGATGAATTTGGAATTGTATAATCCACATGTATTTGAATACAAGACTTTGATTAATTTATGCTTTCTTTGTTTTGTTCCTAGGTGCTCAGTGTGTATTAGTAAGCATGTGGTCTCTGCCAAACATTGCTATGGAGAAGTTCTACTACCACTTCTATACCACCTTAAATAAGGGAGCACTGGTCACTGATGCCCTTGGTGCAGGCATTAAAGGTCTCAGGGCAGAT